GGATTGTTGTGCTATAATCTTACATCGATCTGTCATATAGAGTTGCACCTACCAGTGTATACTATTTATGTAGTAAACAATGAAAAATATAACTTGATGTTTTACTCTTTTAAGTGCTCGTTCAAGAAGACTTCTCAATGTGTATGATCAATTGCCTAAATAGTCAATCATAGTCGACATTTTGTCCAAATCTCATTGTATTTCCTTCTATATATCAACACGACCGCTATTTTATTGCACTTTAATTTTCAGGGGATTCGTTGGAAGTCAAGAATTGAACGTATTTCGTTTGCCATAATGCAGTTAACCAAAGTAAACACTTGTCGTGAACACATACTAACCATTATAATATAAGTGTGATATAACAGACGATGTGATTGGCTAATGCGCGTGCATTGTGACGCAATAATGCACTGTGATCTGTGGCACTGCTTTGCTCTTTCTCTGTTTTTTTCCCCAATTATCACTGCTTTTTAGCCAAAATAATACACAAAATTATAGAGCTTTTAAAATACAAAATTTACCAAAAAGCAAGGAGGAATAAACCAAAGGAACAAAGCAATTTTCTATAGTTCTACTTATAAAATTAACCGGCTGGGCATTCGTCGAATTTGTTGTTGTCTCGACAAGTTTTGGGTAAAAAGAGTACAAAATAGTCGAGAAAAAAACTTGAAAAAGATACAGCTGGAAGACCATGCAAATACATACAAAAAGGCAACAAAAACTGAATATAAGTGATTTAGAAAGTACCTTCAATTCTTCTGATAATAACTGCTAGATATATTTTCGGCGAAAGACAAAAAATACAATATTTTCGAAAATTAAAACTGAGTAATAAACACAACGAAACCTACGATTTACCGTCTTTCATGGCAAATCCAGCAGCCCAGATGCTGAAAAACTTTGGCAAATTAGTCTGTGTGTCACTGCTTTTTTATTACCACTATTTTAAACAATTTTTCTGGCTTTATAGCATCAAAAGTTTGTATATTGTTTTGGCAATTTTTCTCCTTCGCTCGCTCAAAAATTCAAGCGACAGTAAAAGCATGCGTGTGACGTCAATGTTAGGAGAATTTCAACGTCGATCTTTTGAGTAAAATTGTTTACCATGTAATATCTTCTACTTATATTATAAAAGAAATAGAAAAACTCGTCTCATGCGTTTATGGTGTGATAATGCACTTGGGAAATGTTGGGAGAATACTCGAGAAGCGTGTAAAACACTCGGCTACGCCTCGTGTTTCACACGCTTCTCTCGTATCCTTCCAACATTCCCCGCGTGCATTATCACACCATAAACGCACGCGACTCGTTTTCTATTTCTGAAGTAACCATGATATCCAAATCGAATCAGTTCAATCAAGCTTACTACTTTGTCACTGCCAAATGCTAAACAATTTCGTTAATTAATTTAAATAAATAATAAGCTCTAAGCAAACTCACTAAAATTTACAAAAAAATAGATGCGTGAAAACAAAAATAGTGGACAATACAAACAGGAAGGCTAGTTAGATAAGAGGGATTGGCAAACGGACTCGAAGTTCCAACAAAGCAAACCCCGTTCATTAATTATAACTAATGACACTATAGGACAGTAGGACTACATATGCTCATAATTACACATAAATGTTCCCTAAATACTACGGAGCAGCACACGCCATATTCGTCATCTAACGCTAGTTTCAAATGAACCTAATGACTGAAAATAATTTTCTAATTTTAGTTTTATACCCGTTTCGAAAACTAGGCGACCAACCCGAAAATAATTGCGGTCCAAATGCTAGTTTCATGCTACACGTATTAAAAAAACCCGTTTTTGTTGCATGCCATATATGGCATGCAACTTTCATATAGCTCTAAATTTTGTGTCGTGTTCGGTGAGCGGTGATCGGTGAGCGTACCAGTTACGTGGCAGATTCGTAAAATACGACAAATACCGACTTTCCGACGAGCATTTTCATGCCGGGTTTGGCGTCGAGGAAACGCAAAGAAAATTTATATATTGATTATAAGTCGAAAATTTACATAATCGAGCGCCTTAGAAAAATAAATCGAGGTAGGTAAAGCTTTACTGTTTTAACTTACCTTATATTTTGTTATTTGTTGTGATTTTTCTCGCACTGATTATTTATCAACTATCACGCGTTTATATTTAGGGACCATTCATTATTTATGACCTGGGGTGGGCTCGCAAAATTCAATTAACAACTAAACAAAATGTCCTGACCCACCCCCTGCATCACAAACAAATTCAATGACCCCCTTCACATGAATACTAAAAAAAATATAACCCCCCCCCGACAATATAATAAATGTACAGTGCTGTATAGAAATGCCCTCTTTAAACTTGTTCGGTAAAAGGCATCAGCTCTTTCATTTACTTGTGCTTTCAACAATTAGTATGCATGCCTATTTAACCCATTAAGCTGCAGAGTTTCTTGTTGACGAGTAAAATTGTCTGGCGTTAAACAAGTAAAAAATAAGTACTGGGGCGCAATGGGTTAACTAGAGACATTGTCAGATTTTTTGATTTAGCGCCAAAAAGGCTAAAGCTGGGGGTCATATACCATTTTTCGGTGACTAAGAGTGTAAAGTTGCTTGAAGTTGCTTGAGCCGAAAAGTTGCTCCAAACGCAAAAAGTTGCTCAAAAGTTGCCGAGCACAATTGGGACATGTCTAGCAGAGCTTCGAGGGCCAACGGCCCGAGGAAATTTTTAAATTTAGAGTCTCTGAAATGCCATTTCCTGGACTTTGGGGAAGATTTGACAGAATTCTGATGGTCAGAAAACAGCATTTTAGTATGTCGAAATTTACAATTTAGTAGCACTAAATGGGCGAAGGCGTATTTAATTAACTATATCAATATTGGATAATTTGCAGGAAAATATGAGAAATATAATCTTCATTCTTTGCAGGTTGTCATGGGTAATGTAGCCACTTAAAATTGATCAATTGTCAGTATTTTAAAGGTATATTATTTAAATGATTCTGCATGATTTTGGAAAAAGAATGATTAGCATGAATGAGAATGAAAAAGAATGATCTGCATGATTTTGGAAAAAGAATGATTAGCGGTTGCTACGGCCCTGGGTTAGGAATATGGTTATGGTACAGGGTACTACGTCAGTGAACTACAAAGACAGCTAAACAGCTAGTGACTCGAACATTTGACTCAGGCTCGGCTTTAATTCCTTACTAGATTAAACCATGTATAAAATACCTAGTATAAACTATGATATACCAAACTTTCCCTGGACGTAATGTTGCTACATCACTTACTCGTTAATTATCTTTTTTATTAAAATGTAAAAATTGGAATATGACAAAAATTTATGGCAAGTTCATGGCAAAAGTTATAAAGGTAGATGTTCAATTATTTTTCGTATTAGCTGCGCGCATTGCATTTTGGGTATTTGTGCATTGCATTTTGGGTCTATCTGTT